GAAATGACAGACACTTTTGTACACTAAGAGCCCTTTTTATAAAAAAGAGCATTTTATATATGTGTAAAATATGGAAAGTATTTTTCTTATTCTTGTACTTTTGTATGTATATTAGAATTCTGGAGAGGAGGTTTCTATTTCTTTTGAGTATCACAAACAAAACTAAAATCTTTAGACGCTTGTGTTTTTATTATAATTAGATGGGTCAAGGTGTACAATACTGTGAATGTTATGAGCAGATTATAAAATGTTCTATCAAGATAATAAAAGTATTTAACAGTTATTTAGGTTATGTGTTTTCTTGTTTAAATTATTTACATTTTTACTTATTTAATGAAATTTTGCGACGATTAGTACAATTTATATAATGTTCAAATCGATCTATATTTTGTCGCTATAGTCCTATAGTACTTTTAGTATTCATGTATTTTGAATTTTTGTAGTTCATATATTTAACCAAATGATGCATAGAATTTAATTTGGGACCTGTGGTTTATGTTCCTTATAATTTAAGAGAAAATATGGAAAAACCTGGTTATTTCCATTTTAACAAGATGTAAAAGCTGGATGCACTTCACCCACTGTACAAAGCATTTTTGCATTTATAAATTGAGCATGATTGCATTACATATAAAGGACACATTAGGTTTGCGATACCTTATCTCAGATTGCAGGAAATCAATGTGATGTAATCGCCCTGACTACAGCAGTGGTTCTCAACCAGAAACTAGGACTGTTAGCACATTAAAATAATCATAATTAATTGCAAGATTCAACATGTTAAATTTGCTCCTTTTTAAAGGAAAGAGAAAAAAAGCATACAAAGCTGTTTTTGTGATTCTGCAGAAGGACTCCACATGCACAACTGGATATTGCTGACATTTCATCTGACACCACTTAAAACTTGTTGCTCAATTAATTTAAATAATACTTACATATTTTAAGACATATGTATTATGGCATCCGAGGAGGTTTACTGAGGCCCTCCACTGGACCCCGGTCATCGGTTGAGGTGTGAAATATAGAGAGAATTGGTGCTCTCTGCTGTCTAATGCTGGTATTGACGATTCAAATCTGTTTCTATAGTTACCAAACGCCTCTCACGATTCTCACCTGCAAAATTTACATAACCGCTCATTTGTAAATTGATACAGCATAATGAGTAGGCACAGAAACAGACCAAGAAATTCCTATCAAATCAAGCCAAACGCTCAACGGTGGAATTTTTGACCCAGGACTGGCAGTTATTGATGATCCAGGTAGCCGATCCTATCAGGTGTGAAAGCGTAAATACTCTGTCTTGCGTTCAGTTCAGTTACATCCTTAAGGCCATGTTTTTGTAATATTTGAGGCCAAGTCTTTTTTTTTTTTTAATGACCTACATCTAGATATGTCTGTGGTGGTCAACAGTGAGCTTTATGAAGAGGAACTTGATGTGACAAACTCTCCACGTTAAAAGAGCTTAAACATGATTCTGGTCTTCATGCTTTAATGCTTAATTATGACTTTAAGAAGATGGCAAGCTATGTTCTTATCATAATTATCTATAAACACCAACACAAATAATGCATGTTTTCACAGAAGGGCCAGAGGTCCATGTCCATGTAAGCAGCCCACCTTCAAGAAAGGGTCAAGAGAAAATCTGAAGGTGCAGGATCATCCAGACTAAAGACCTGCTGCATGTGATGGACCATCAACCTTTCACTCAAGCCACCTTTGTGCATTAATTCTCTTATTTTTTTCCTATATACATGTATTACTTTCAGTATATGCAGGATAACTATTTTATTATATTCAAATGCATTTATAAAATACTGAAACTGTCAAATCCCTCTAATCAATTGTCTTTCCCCCACAAACATTTTTAGTTCATCCACATGCTGCATTAGGCTTTAATCTGCTAAATGAATTCATGCAAATGTAGGTGTAATAAGGCACAAATCTCTATAGAGTTGACTTGAATAAACATACACAATAAATATACAATAGATCCTAAACAGTATTTATGTCCATAGAGATTCTGAACCCATAATTTGTCTTTTTCCTCAGTTCCCCCTGCAAAAAAGAAAAACGCCACACTGTATCTATATTTTGTCGCTATAGTCCTATAGTACTTTTAGTATTCATGTATTTTGAATTTTTGTAGTTCATATATTTAACCAAATGATGCATAGAATTTAATTTGGGACCTGTGGTTTATGTTCCTTATAATTTAAGAGAAAATATGGAAAAACCTGGTTATTTCCATTTTAACAAGATGTAAAAGCTGGATGCACTTCACCCACTGTACAAAGCATTTTTGCATTTATAAATTGAGCATGATTGCATTACATATAAAGGACACATTAGGTTTGCGATACCTTATCTCAGATTGCAGGAAATCAATGTGATGTAATCGCCCTGACTACAGCAGTGGTTCTCAACCAGAAACTAGGACTGTTAGCACATTAAAATAATCATAATTAATTGCAAGATTCAACATGTTAAATTTGCTCCTTTTTAAAGGAAAGAGAAAAAAAGCATACAAAGCTGTTTTTGTGATTCTGCAGAAGGACTCCACATGCACAACTGGATATTGCTGACATTTCATCTGACACCACTTAAAACTTGTTGCTCAATTAATTTAAATAATACTTACATATTTTAAGACATATGTATTATGGCATCCGAGGAGGTTTACTGAGGCCCTCCACTGGACCCCGGTCATCGGTTGAGGTGTGAAATATAGAGAGAATTGGTGCTCTCTGCTGTCTAATGCTGGTATTGACGATTCAAATCTGTTTCTATAGTTACCAAACGCCTCTCACGATTCTCACCTGCAAAATTTACATAACCGCTCATTTGTAAATTGATACAGCATAATGAGTAGGCACAGAAACAGACCAAGAAATTCCTATCAAATCAAGCCAAACGCTCAACGGTGGAATTTTTGACCCAGGACTGGCAGTTATTGATGATCCAGGTAGCCGATCCTATCAGGTGTGAAAGCGTAAATACTCTGTCTTGCGTTCAGTTCAGTTACATCCTTAAGGCCATGTTTTTGTAATATTTGAGGCCAAGTCTTTTTTTTTTTTTAATGACCTACATCTAGATATGTCTGTGGTGGTCAACAGTGAGCTTTATGAAGAGGAACTTGATGTGACAAACTCTCCACGTTAAAAGAGCTTAAACATGATTCTGGTCTTCATGCTTTAATGCTTAATTATGACTTTAAGAAGATGGCAAGCTATGTTCTTATCATAATTATCTATAAACACCAACACAAATAATGCATGTTTTCACAGAAGGGCCAGAGGTCCATGTCCATGTAAGCAGCCCACCTTCAAGAAAGGGTCAAGAGAAAATCTGAAGGTGCAGGATCATCCAGACTAAAGACCTGCTGCATGTGATGGACCATCAACCTTTCACTCAAGCCACCTTTGTGCATTAATTCTCTTATTTTTTTCCTATATACATGTATTACTTTCAGTATATGCAGGATAACTATTTTATTATATTCAAATGCATTTATAAAATACTGAAACTGTCAAATCCCTCTAATCAATTGTCTTTCCCCCACAAACATTTTTAGTTCATCCACATGCTGCATTAGGCTTTAATCTGCTAAATGAATTCATGCAAATGTAGGAGGCACAAGGCACAAATCTCTATAGAGTTGACTTGAATAAACATACACAATAAATATACAATAGATCCTATTTATGTCTATGTTGTATTTGAAAGATGAGGCAGCACAAACTATTTTGTACCTTACAGCAAGCCAAAAAATTATTTTGATTTTAACAGTAAAAGACTGTACAAATGCTACAGTAAAAACCTGTTAAATGGTTAACAGTATGTTTCCATACTATATACGGTGAATAACTGTAATTATATTTAATGTAATTTTACAGTACAATACTGTTAAAATTACGGTTTTTGGAAGTGAAAAAGAAAAAGTCATTGTATAATTTACATTGAAAAAACGTAAATTGACACTCCCAGAGTTCCCTGCATGACACTTCCTATTTTATGTTTTTTCATTGAAATAACTATGTTTCTTCTTATCAGTTGTGTACATTAGGGTTTTATCTTACATCTAATGTTGTTAAATGAATGTTT